CATAAAATTTTGGACTTCCTAGACTGCTAATTTCATCCTAATTCATCTCTCCTGAATTTATTCTTACTTAGTTATATACATCACAGTGATAACTTAAGAAGGTAAATGACAAATGAAAATGTCCAACTGAGCAAATGAACTTTATAATCAACTCTGATTTTATTTTCTAATGTTTCCAGTCTAGTCTCAGCATGATCCAAGTTGAATAGCTCTCTTATCGATTATATACTACTCCAGAGCCTTGTTTCCATTGTGGCTTTTGGAGCTAATGTTTCAGACATTATATTAACATCTCCAAAATATCTTGTAATTTTTCTTTTTGTATTAACAGGTCGACATAGTTTAATGAGTCGCTCAACTTTTAACATAGGAGGTCCTGATTTTACATAGATGACAGCATTCAAGAAAATCAAATATAATGAAAAGAGCATGGCATGTTGAGTTAGAGGATTCATGTTCAAATACCATTTCTGTACTTGCCACCTATGATAAATGACCTTGATGGCATCATTTAAGCTCTGTGGATCTCAGTTTCCTTATCTGTAAAATGAGGGCTTTAGACTAACTGACTTGTGTGCTCTCTTTAGTATACTCTGCATACAACTTTTTACATCATAATGAAATATTGATCATCAATAATTATGCATTTGAGATTCACCAAGTGGTTGTGAATAGACACTACATTAAATCTAAGTGACAGACTTTTAAGCAGTGATTCACTTATCAACTGCTACAGATGAGTAGATTGCAACACAGAAGGTTCAAGAGGAAGTCAGGCTTGAATCCACTGTTCTTCAATGTCAACTGATGCTTTTCAGTTTTTTCCTATATTTTCCTTGTTCTATTAATGAACATAAGCTACATCACTCATATATAAGTCTTTGTATCTCACATCGAATGATGTTCTGGATATCACCAATACATATATGAAAATTAGAGAATGAGCCTGGGATAGTGGATAAGGATCTGTCCTCAAAACCAAGAAATTGGGGTTCAGATATCTTCTCTTACCTGTACATACTAGCTATGTGACCCTGGACAAGTCATTTAACCCCTAAGTACTCTAGGTAATTCTTTAAGACACTAAGTTGCAAAAAAGGTGATGACCAGCATTAGTGGAGAGTTTATTCACCCAGGGGTTCTCTATGTCAATGAAATCACAGGTCTAATCTTTATCCCTATATGAAAGTTATTGTTTGGGATGTTGAAGCCATCCATTATGGTTTATGTATACTAGCACTTTTTATGAATATCTAGCTCTACTTCATCCTATCCTGACTCTTTTATCAACTAAAGTTTAAATTGTAAGCTGATACAAACCTGAAACTTCTCTTGAAAATGTGAATTTGGAGTCAGAAGGACTGACTTCAAATCCTATTTCTGCTATTTTATAATTTCTACTCTATGATCTTGGGCAGCTAGGCAGCACAGTGGATAAAAGCACTGGGCTAGGAACCGGGAAGACTCATCTTCCTGAGTTCAAATCTGGCCTGAGACACATTATCATTGTGACCCTGGGCAAGCCACTTAATCCTGTTTGCCTCAGTTCCTCATTTGTAAAATGAATTGGAGAAAGAAATGGAAAACCACTCTTGTATCTTTCCCAAGAAAACCCCAAATGGAGTCACAAAGAGTTGGAAATGACTGAATAACCATGCCACTAACTATGGCCTTAGATAATTCACTTCCTATTCTGTACCTTAATTATCTGCACAATAAGGAAGTAGATTAGATTATTTCTAAAGCCTCTTCTGGCTCTAATGCCTATACGTATATTCTTTTCGCTGATAGCTTGTATTTGTTTATGGCATTTGTCCCTGTGTACATGGCCAAGTGAGGGTAACTTACATGGCATGGTTTAAGAAAACAGAAGGGGACTCATCTACAGTGAGACTGCTGATTGTGTAGAAAGAGGAGTGAAGTTACTGCCAACTCCAACATCTTCTTCTTGTTCCCATAAAAAAAAATCATAAAACAGAACTGCTCATACCTAAATCACATTGCCTGAATCATATGCATGCCACATCTAGGGCATCTTATCAGTTGATTGATATAATAACTCTCAATAATGTAATGTTAGGGATCTATAAGGATGTAGAGGGCCACAGGCTGTTCAAGAGGTCTCACTGATGGGTGAAGACCCCTCTTGGGTGCTGATCTTTGAGCAAAGGTCTCCTGGTTTGGTGCTCCATTGTATGGATCTGTAACAATCTTTTAACTCCCCTAGTTATTGTATGGTCATTAGCAGTCTATTCTGGGATTGGAGTCAGATAAGCGCACAGGACATGCATGCACTGTCCTTGAGCACAGCATGGGCTATACATCATTGTATCTTGAGAAAGATTTCCTGTTATTTTACTATATAAGTAAATGCTTTGCTAAAAGTAAACGGAGTTACTTCCATCTTGTCTCCCGCCTCATCAATGCGCATTCGAGATAGAAGGTTAAGCTGGTCTTATTCCTTCAAAGTTAGGATCCTGGCTCTAGTGGCAAGCTGAATTAGTTGTGCACAACAATGTATTACTTCAAGATGTTGAATCTAAGTGGAGTTATATTCTATATGTGAGTTGCAGAAGGAAAAAGACTTAGTTCAAGTCTTTACATTTTAGTATTGGACCTTCATAAAAACATGATCACTCAAAGACCCCAATTACTAGGGTCCTTCCTCTCTAACAATTTTATATTCAGCTACCCGGTATTTATTCTCTTTATGTGTATTTATAGATATTTACATACATGCCTGCTGTTTCTCTGCAGCTAGATGGCATAGTGGATAAAGCTCCAACCCTGGAATCAGGAGTACCTGCATGCGAATTTGGCTTCAGACACTTACTTGCTGTGTGACCCTGGGCAAGTCACTTAGTCCTATTTTCCTTAGTTTCCTCATCTGTAAAACAAGCTGGAGAAGGAAATGGCAAACCACTTCAGTATCTTTGCCAAGAAAGTCCCAAATGGGTCATGGGAGTTGAACACAACTGAAACAACTCAGGAACATTATTTCCCCTGATATAATAGTAAGCTTCTTGAAAGTAAAGATTGTTTCATTCTTTGTATTTGTACCCCCAATATAGTTACTGACACATATTGGGCATTTAATTAATGTTTGTGGATTGTTTGCCTGCCCTCCCTTAGATAGTTTTGTTATATCTGCCTGAAGGAAGGGGGATAGCTAAAGTACTTTTCTTTGCTGTTATTCTCTAATGTTGGATTTTAGATGAAATAAAAATTCTTGAACCTGGCATTTGAGGTCATCCCCAATCTGGATTCCATCTGCTTTTCCCACCCTATTTCATATGAATCTCACTTATGGATTCTACCTCCCAAGCAAATTAGACTAGTAACTGCTCCCAAACTTGAGAAACTTCCTCTCAAGTCTCTCTGCATCTGTACAATCCATCCCCTATTCCTAGAATGTCTTCCCTTCTCATCTCACCTCTTACAATCCTTGTCTTCAAAGCGCAATTCAGGTGTCACCTCCATTCTTAAGCTTTCCTTTTTCCTTTCCTTCATTGGTGCTCCCCTCCTGCTCTTATTAATCCTTTCTGATCTAATCAGTTTTCATTGTACTATACTCATTTGTGTCCATGTTGTCCTCCCCACCATCCCTAGGAGTCTGTAAGCAATTTGAGGTCAGGGAATATTTTATGTTTATATTTCCAGTGATTATCAGGGAACCTCCTATAGTAGGTGCTTAATGAATGTTCATTGAATTCAATTGTAATAACATTTCCTGTCATTAAAAAAATTTCTTCAGGATTCTCTTCTTTTTTCTGATATATGTATCTCTACTTATTTCTTTAGTTTTCCCATTCTTTTACAATCCTCACCCTTTCCCATGTCTTGTTTTTGGTTTTGGTTTTTTTCCCTCTCTTCTAAACACCCCTAAGACCTGAGTTATAAGACATTAAAGGGACTGTTTGGCTGTCTGAGAGAGGTAGTGGCAATCATGAATGAGATGAATGAGTTTGATTCCAGGCCCGTCTATTTGCCTTTTATTTCTTTCCCCTTTGGCACTCCCATTCCCACTCCCAGCCCTACTAGAGAATTTGATATTTACCATTAAGCCATTCTTTTTTTCTTATTAGGAGCACTTATATATAGAAATCCTACCATGCTCAGATGTATGTAGAGGAAATAATTTTAATTCAGAAAGTAAACTTATGCAAAGTAGCATATCTGGGAGTTTTCTTGAGACAATAGTTTTATTAGACCTAAGTAAGAATAGTGAGTGGGCATTTCTCAGAATTCTAATAACATATGGCTCAATGCTTGGATAATTCCCTGTTTCCCATATAAAGTAATTCAGATATGGGCTCATTAGTGGAACATTATGCCAAGCTAGAAGAAGTTCCCTTCTTTTATGCCATTATCCCAAAAGGTATAACACTGGTATGATGCTTCTATAAGCAGTGAAGGGAATTTTTTTCTAGAAAGACATTTATGGCAGAGTCATTGAAATATGGAAGCCTCTGAGTAAATTCTGAATGAAAGGAAACCACTTCTGTGGTTGGGAAGTAGCTAGATATCACCTAGAAAATCAAGAGGGAAACATAAATATTATCTTGGTGTTTGAAGGTAAGAATAAGATGGATGCACATTTCTTAAGGAAACAGTATTAACAATCATGCATGATTGACCACATTGTCACCTCTTAGCTCTTTTTTCTTGGAAATGGACCTTTTATAACCATCCTCCTGACATACTTTTAAAGAACTGTGCTCAGGTTTTAGGAGAAATTTGATTTATAAAATTGGAGGATGGAGATAAAGATGTAGGAAGAGATGAAAGGAAGAGTGAAATAGTATGAGAAAATCATGGCACTACTTGTCAATACCCTCTACTTTTATTACAGTTTTTTTTCCTCGAGGATCATGTTTCATGCCTAGAATGTACTGAGATATTATCCTATTACACGTTTTAACTTTATCTCCTATCTGAGTTGTTCTGGGCTGAAACCTTCTGATCACAGTTACATTGATTGCTCTCTGAATCTATTGCAGTGTGCCTGAATATTATGACTATGGTCATGGAACAAGTGAAGACGCCTATGACAGCTACGGTAAGACCTCTTCTGTCTTTACAAAAACTGTGAAATCAGAAAAACAATCAGTCACTGACAATGCAAAAATTACCTCTGTCTCTCCTTCCCTTTCATTTTTACAGAAGCCCAGACTAAATTGATTTGTGTAATTCCAGGGTGCTTTTGACTTATGGAGCCAGGGCCAGAAAATTGGACAGATCAATTTTGATCAAAATTTCAAAGGCAATTAATCACAGTAATAGATCAATTTCAATAGCAACAGAGAGCATTCTGATTAGTGCCTTGTGTATTTCACTAGGGCAATTGTCAGTCTTATTGATTTGCAACTGTGATGTGTCCTTCTGCTGTCATATACATCAAACTGAGTAATACAGTTTAACCATTCAAAAGGTTTTGTAGGAGGCATTAATTATAGTTACTGGAATATTTATTTAGAGGGCACAGTTCTAAACACCTCTACCAGAGCTATACTGCTTTCCCAAAAATTATACTGGACCAGAAGTTTTGTTAGGTATTATTATACTGGAAAAGTTTCCAGTGAAGATCTAGCACTAAATTTTATGTATGTCTGTTGAATGAAGACCAACATAGCTAAGAATGGAGAAATTCATCATCAGAATGCTGGCTACTAGGTGATTTTTTTTTTCAGTAATAACAAGTAATCTACTAAGGCATGGAGCGTTTGTGATCTCTTCTTACGGATCCTATATAGTGGTGCCAAACCAGTAAAATAACAAACATTTAAATGATTGATAGGGATAGGGACTGGACCTCTGATTCTATTTGTATAGGCAACTCCCAGGTGAAGAAATGCCCCCTACCAATAGTGGTTGACACCTTCTATGTAACTTATCTTAGAAAGTTGCCTAGAACACTGGGAGGTAGGTGTTAGAGAAGTAAGATTTGAACCCAGATATTCCTCATTTTGAGGCCAGTTCTCTATCCATCTTGTAATGTTTAATTATTTAGTTTACATATGTTTGTGTGTACTGTATATGTATGTACATATGTATACATGTACCCACACTGTGAGTCCACACCTACAAGTTCATCTGTATAAAGAACTTACAGTGTGAAGATTTCTGTGCAAAGGTAGATCAACAAATCAACTTCAATTTGCATACTATGAGATTTCCTTGGGGCACTGAGAAGTTAAGTGACTTACCTGTGGTCACATGGCCAGTACTAGTCAGAAGAAAAATTCAATCTCATGTCATCCAGTCTTGAGGTAGACCTTGGGATCTACTCTATTTACTATATTGTGTTTCATCTTATTAAATTCAATACTTTTAGTTTTAAAAGAGGAATGTTTTAATTATATTACATAACTAAACCTAAATAAGAAATATAATTAAAACTAAAAGTTAAAGTTTTAACTTCTTGACAAATATTCATGAAAATTCCACCTTTCACCTTTTTATCTTTAAAAAGAAAACAGCATAGCTTTACCAAATATTAGTTCACCAGTCTCCAATTTCTTTTAATCATTTGTCCCATTCAAAATCATAGACTTCATTTGAATAAGCATGTCTACAGATTCTAAAGGACTGTGTATTAAAATACAAAGTGCTTAAATACAAATATTCCTTATATGTATACATTGTGCAATACAAATATTTTGGGGATAAGTTGATCACTTCTTAAGGTAGCTTTTAAGAGTTTGAATGTTGTGTGTGTGTGTGTGTGTGTGTGTGTGTATATGTGTGTGCGTTCATACACATGTATATTCTATATTCCAAAACAAGAGTATATAAGTTCTGATATTTATTTTACATTTAAACATCAATTATATTATTTTAATTACATGTACCATATATACACATGTGTACCATATGTGAAGAAGGAAAAGAAGAGCTTAAAATTTACCTAGCATTGTTAGACTTCAAATCAGCTAGAATAGGTGAACTACCCCATTGTTTAGGGAAGGTAAGAAAGAGAAGAAAAATGAGAATATATCTGTGTTCACCAAGCTGACTGTGTTTGTTGCCAAGACTGCTGAGCCAAACTCATTTCTAGGTATACACTACACAGGATTCCCATCCTGTGATATATGTATCCCCAGGGAGTACAAGAAATTTGTCAGTGAGGTACAAGGAATTTGGTAACCTATGCCATTCTATTGAAATGTTCTAGAAATTCCAAACTGATTTCTAATCCACAAAGCTACAAGATTTTTGGTGTATTTTTGGAGAAGAAAAATTAATGAATCTGTTTACTTTATATGTGCACATGCATGGTAATCTAGAATTTATTTCCATTTCTGTTGAGTAGGAGATATGGAAGACTTATCAAAAAGCCAGAAGGTATAAAGATTTAAAATGATTGGGAACCACTGGGCTAATGGATGTTGTGGAAGCGTACCTCTACTTTTCCTTTCCATGGAAAATTAATAATTGAAAATATAATAGGATAAATAGGGTAGTCTTAGCAACAGAAGCCAGATCTGCGGACAAGTTTGGTAGCAGGAAGGACCTATCATCCACATTTAACTTTGGTGTGTACTTAACTATACATTGAGTATTCTGAGGAAAGTTCTTTCCCCTCAAAACCAAAAACAGATAATATGTGATAATGGGCCAACTTTATTGTGGTATACAGACGTTATGGTGAATGTACACAATCCTAGACTGTGAGTTGCAGCCTGGGTTCAAATCCTAACAAGTCACTTGATCTCACTTATAAAATGAAGATGATGATAACAGTTTCATTCTGTATTTCATACAGTTGTTGTGAGGAAAGTCTTTGCAAACTACATGTGGCCTGTCATCCATTATAGACATGTGTTATCTCAGTTCACAGAAGGAACACCACAAATGTGGTATCATTTATAGACAAATTTTTAAAAATGACTTCGCAAATTTGTAATTTAAAAATGCTCATTTGATAATACTTGCCACATATATAGGAAGGAAACAAGAACTAACATCTCTATAATAAGGCAGAAGAGATTGAATTCTTAGAATTATATGCATGACAATTAATGGAAGAAGGGAATTGGATATCAAAACTTCTGATGAGATGATATGTCGTAATGGATAAGATTTATGCTCTTTTCTCTGTCAGTTATGGTTTTGAAAATCATAAATGCTGAATTAACATTTCAGTGGGGAGACTTTCATAAAAACAGATTATTATTTCTAAGACATTCCTCTTAGCCACTCAAACTCTAATTCTGAGAACAAGAGGTGTGGTCAGAGGTGAAAGAGAGACTTTTACTCTTAGTTATTTTCTGAGTCTCACTAGGTTATGTAGAATCTGTACTAATTGCCCCCTACCCCAAGAGTATTCACCAAAAAAAAAAGTGTCCACCCTATTTTAAAAGTCTTCTCTGCTAATTAGCCCCAGACTGCACACTGGGCAAATTAGCAAAATAAATGCATGTTAACTAAGTAAAAACTGAAATGAGAAAAAGAGACTGTGTAGACAGAGTGAATAAGTGAGGCAAGTTAGAATATAAATTGCAAAGGCAGAAAAGAACTTTGGCTGATCTAACCATTATTTCCCCAGTTCTTTTGAAAGATAGCCTAAGGAATGCCTAGAACTATGCTTTTTTCTTTAGGGGGAAGTCTTTATCTCATTATCTGATTCTACCCTTCTACCAGGCTCTGAGTGCTGTTTTTCAACATTGATGATGATGTCAAGGACATTGTCACTAGGACACAGCTTACAATTGGGCTTTTTCTGTGAGTCTTATATATCTATAAGTCTTGCTCTTCTATTAAAAAATATATCTTTTTCCACCTAGCCTCTTCTCTCTTCTAAGGAGCATCTATTAATGTGTTAACTCTGTGAAAATATGGAAGCTGCTGTTATTTCACTTATCTTTTTTTTTCAATATGCCGTGTTCTTAACATCTCAATATGTTTTCATATATGTGATCACAATTAAATACAAACGTTTTTCTCAAAACTGTAAAGGTGAGATTATGCTGGATAATTGTGAAGCTGGTGCCAGTCTAATGTAAGGTTTGAATTTTAGATATTCTTCCTGTCTCTGTTCTTAAGGAGCTTAGATTGTACTTGGGGAGGGATACATTACCACATGTTCCCAGATTAGTACATGAAAATATATTCAACATATGAAAGAACTGGAGAAATCAAGAAAGGCCTTTTCAAGGAGTTTTAAGCTTGAGAGGATGTTCCTTTTAATTCAATTCTACCAGCATTTCTTTTTTTATCTTTTTTTCTAGTTTTTTTCTTTTTTTTATTTATTTGTAGTTTTCAACATTCATTTCCACAAGTTTTTGACTTCCAAATTTTCACCCCATCTCACCCCTCCCCCCCACCCCAAGATGGCACACATTGTGAATATCCCTTCCCCTACTCTGTCCTCTCATCTATCTCTCCCCCCTTCTCTTATCCCCTTCCCCTTCTATTTTCCTGTAGGGCAGGATAGACTTCTGTACCCCATTTCCTGTATTTCTTATTTCCCGATAGCATGTGAAGACTTTTTTTTTTAAACATATGTTTTTAAAACTTTAGGTTTCAAATTTTCTCTCTTCCTCCCTCCCCACCCACCCTCATTGAAAAGGCAAGCAACTCAATATGGGTTGCACATGTGCAGTTATGCAAAACACTTCCATAGCAGACATGTTGTGAAAAACTAACTCTATTTTGCTTAATGCTATTCTGGCCTCCCATTTATTCTATTCTTTCTTTTGACCCTGTTCCTCCTCAGAAGTATTTACTTCTGATTACACCCTTTCCCAACCTGCCCTCCTCTCTATCATCCCCCTGCTCTCTTGTCCCCTTCTCCCCCTATTTTTTGTAGGGTAAGACAATTTCCATACCCAATTGAATGTGTATGTTATTCCCTCCTTAAGCCAAATCCTATGAGAATAAGATTACTCATTCCCTCTCACCTTCCCCTTTCCCCTCCACTGTAAGAGACTTTTCTTTCTGTTTTTTTTTGTGAGATAATTTACCCCATTCTACCTCTCCCTTTCTTCTTCTCCAATTATAATCCTCTCTCATCGCTTAATTTTATTCTCCAGATATGACCCCTTAATCTTCAACTCA